CTTATCGGCGCTGCCTGCCGCCCAGCCGGGCTCCGCTTCCAGGAAGCCGCGGTTCCGGAGCGCTTGTTTGCCGCTGGATGCCGAGGGCTCCGTCCCGCTCGCTGTTTCGCTCCCTCCCTCCCTCTCTCCSTCCGTCCCTCCCTCTCTCGCTCCCTCCTCCGACCCCCCTGATGCTGGCAGGGGGGCTGGGAACGCGCTGCTCCAGCACATGCCGAGCCGGCGGTCACGGCCCGGACCCTCCGCTGTTAATCGGGAGCATCCCGGGCGCCCTCTCGCTCCCTCCAGCAGCTCCTCTGCGGGTCCCACAGCGCCGCAGGGCCGCGACACAGCGGCAGCACCCGCACGACACCCGTCCCTGCACCGCCGCTTATCCCCCCGATCCGAGCCCCCACCTCTTTCTCCTTCTGCTCAAACCTTTCCTGCCCTGCCCCGATCCCTCCTTCCCCACCTTTCCCACCTTCCCCATCCATTGCTCCCTCCTCCTCTGTCCTTACCCCACAAWGTCTCTTCACCATCCCTTTAAAGATTCCCTCTTCTTACAGCTCTCGGTCGTRCAACACCGATCATCATCTTCCTTTCTCCTTTTGCCTCCTCCCTTTCCCCATCCCACCCTTCCACAGGTTTCCTAGTACGGACAAGATGTAATTTGCTCTCTTTGATTCTCTGTTGACCAACGCCTGCTCCGAGTCCTTCCTGCTGCACTTTCCACTGACCTCCTTCTTGCTCCTGTGGGCAGGTCCTGCTCCTCGGGAATRAGCTGCGTTCTGCCAGCTTTCCAGACACCTTCCAGGTAATCCCAGCACCGAGAGGTGAGGCTGAGATGCAGAAATCAGGCTGGAATCTCCCTGTTCCCTGTCTCACCACACGCACCCGCACACTCGCGGCTCTCTCCTGAACAATGCCTGGCCGGGCCTTTTGTACACAGCGCACACAAACATGTCCCTGCCTGGGCACAGCACCTGCCTTGTGCTGTGGCTCATCCATCTTCTATTTTCCCCAGTTTTTAGCAACACTTCCCCATTCTGACTGACTGACAGCACAGGAATTTGGCCATACCCTCGTGATAGCTTTATCAGTAATAGTGTTTGCTTCCCTTTGTCCATTCTGTGCAGCATCCAGGACACACATCCTGAAACCCRCGCTGTTTGAGGAGGCTAAAATACAAAACAAAGTTCTCAAAGCTCCAACTGACCAGAGATCCCATACAAAAACCTCTTAGGGCATGGTTCCTGTTTTTTTTTTTTTTCACCGATCCAAATGATGCTGGTCAGGACACATATTCCTGTGCACATGTTTAAAAAAGAGTCTTGAAAAGACAGGGGAAGAGCTCTTGTACAGCTGAACAGGCTTTTAGGGAACTGACACACATGAAAGTGAGAGCAATAAGACACAAAACCAGATGGGCAGATGGAGTTGGCTGAGCCAACAAATCAAACACTCTGGGTTTTATATATATTAGAAAGAACTGTGCTGAGATGCAAGCTAAAGTGGGTTTCATACCCTGTCTGCAAACTGGTTTAGACTTAGAGCACTGAAAATGGCAATGATGGAACATCRTGGGTATCACAGCTGAGGTACCTGGAAAACAAAGCGAGGAGATACAAATACAGAGATTTAATCCTAATCATAACTCTGCTAAATCTTAGCTTGATTTTCCAAGTATTTGGGGGTTTCTGATCATTCCTACTGCCTGCTTGAGGAATTCCCTGCAGTAAATCTAATCTGTCCCGCTGCTGTGCTGGGCTATTCCAGGCTGACACAGCAGCAGTAGTGGCTGTGTGCTCCAGCTC